TAGGTAAGAAATGAGTCAGAAGATGGCCTAGTTTGCCTACTCCAAAAAAAAGAAAAAATCAGACTGGAAGGAGAAGACCCCTAGGGTGTGTGGCCAGAACAGGAACAATTGCTATTTATACTAACACTGAGCCATCAAAACCCAAACAGTGACCAAGTGAGGCTTGGGTTGGGATGTATTATTGGCCAGTCTGGGAGAGCCAGAGTGATTTGGGTTTAAGCCATGTTCAAGTAGCTCCATTTGAATTCCAATGTTCTTTATCAAAGTCTGGCTTTCCAAAGCTCTATTTCAAGAAATCATAAATGAGGGGGCAGCTAGGTGGCACAGTAAATAGAGCTCTGGCCTTGGAGTCAGGAGGACCTGAGTTCAAATCCAGCCTCAGACACTTAACACTAGTTGTGTGACCTTGGGCAAGTCACTTAACCCCGATCGCCTCACCCCACCCCCCAAAAAAGCAAAAAAAAATCATAAATGAAACTGTGGGACAAAAGGGTTAATTTTCCCAATTTTTAAAAAATGATAGATTAAATAAGTAGGGAGGAGAAAAAAACTACTCCTCAAAACCCTAGATATCTTGTGATCAAAATTTGTATTCCTTTGGACAGAGCATCCACATGTAAGAGTATGATTCCCATGTGGACCAAGGGAGAGGGATAAAGGAAGGAAGGAAACAAAGAAACAAGGAAACAAGGAAGGAGAATTGCCCAAATGAAACTGGCCAGTTGCGTCCCCAGTGGGGCAGTGACTACTACTCACAGATTGTTGTTTGTCTTTCATTCTTGAAGAGGACCAATGACATCAGGAGGGCAATGTCTTGGCTTGCAGTGAATTGTGAGGCAGGGCTGTACAAAGTGATTAGTCGCTCTCTCCTCCAGGGTCATCTGAGTCCAGCGGCAAGGCATAGGTCAGGACACCTGGAGATGACCCCAGATGCAGTGGGAGACCTTGGCCTTTTTAAGTTAAGATCTCTCCCAGGTTTCAGTTTGTCTGATTTAAGGCTAGGTAAGAAATGAAGCAAATGATGACCTAGTTTGCCTCCTCAAAAAAGAAAAAATCTAACTGGGAGGAGAAGATCCTCAGAATGGGGATAAAGGAGGGAGAAAAAGGGAAGAAGAGGGAAGATGCAGGAAAGACAGGAGAAAGAGAGAGAAAGAGAAGAAGGAGGAGGAGAAGGAGGAGGAGGAGGAGGAGAAGGAGAAAGAGAAGGAAATATGGAAGGAGAAGAGAGAGAGAAGAAGCAAGAATGGAGGGGGGAAGAAAGAAGGAAGAAGGAAGGGGAAGTAGGACAAGGAGGAAGAAAGTTGAGTTTGGGAGACAGGGAGGTAGCAGGTTCCAAATATCCTTTTGTGAATGGTTTGCAGGATATTGCTATGAAATTAAATGATATCTGGAAAATACTTTTAAAGCACTAGCCAGAGGTTCCCAAACTTAGCTGGCCTATAGCCTCCTTTAAAAAGAAAAGAATTCTCAGAACCTCCCTAGAAATCTACTTCCCTTAACCCTTTAACAGTTTTTTAAAAAATTTATGTCATTTCAAACTACTACTGCCCCCCAGATTGTTCCAGCACCCCCCAGGGGGCAATATTGCCCATTTTTGGAACCTATGTGGACTGACTAGACAAATGTCAGCTATTATTATCTTGAACTAGATAAGTATTACCACTCCTCCCCTATCCGGTAGCAAATTTAAGTGGGTTTCTAGAGGAATGTTCAGAATCAAAGGTCAGCTGGACTTCTGGGACTTGGCCCTGGTACAGTAAAATCCTAGATACTCTTTCTCCAATTTCTCTGGCCTCTCCCAAGCGTGTCTCAAAAAGGCAGAGGATGATGGTAAAAGAGTAGGAGACAGCATCACACAAGAATCAGTGGGAAGAACGATTAATAACAATAGTTTGTGCTTCTATAGGACTGTAAGGCTTACAAAGTAGTTGACATGAATGACCTCATTCACAACACCTCTGTGAAATAGAGACTGTACACCATCATCATCATCATCATCATCATCGTAATAATAACAACTAGCATTTATGCAGTTTGAAGGTTTGCAAAGCGTTTTATAAATATCATCTCATTTTATCCTTGCAACAACTTTGGGAGGTAGGTACTACTATCCCCTTTTTGAAGTTGAGGAAACTGATACACAGAGGTTAAGTGACTTGCCCAGAGTCACAGAACTAGTATGTGTCTGAAGCTAGATTTGAACCCAGGTCTTTCTGACTCCATATCCATCACTCCATCCAATGTACTACTTAGCCACTATTATTAACATGCCTAGTTGTATTATTTTTCCTATTTTCCAGAAGAGGAAACTGAGGCTTGGAGGAGTTAAATTATTTTCCCTTGGTCACATAACTCGTAAGTGTCAAAGGTTAAGATAGGATAAGATGGCCTCTGAGTCCTTTCCAACTCTGAGATTCTGTGCTAGTTTCAATTTTCTTCAGTCAAAAGGTAGGAGAATGACAGGGTTTAAGTGACCTCTATTTCTAACTTCATGAGTAAAAAGTGGAGCAGCCTTGCTATTCTTCCCTGCATCCTAGAGATGCTCCTGATCTGGGTGGCTTCTGCCTTCTGACTCAAAGTCAAGAAGTGTTTTTTTCTCCAGCCTGTCATGCAGAATTAACAGGGGAGTTACTATAAAGACAAGAAAGGGAGAAAAAAAAATCTTGGCCTTGTTCTCTGCCTCAGCACCACTCTCCTTGCCCTTCCTTTATTTTCGTCCTCCCTTTTTGGCTTCCCTTAATCCTTCTCTTTCTTCCTCCTTCTTTGCCCTGTTCCTCCCTTTTCTACTTTCTACCTTTACCTTCCACTTATGACTCCAGATGACCTTGGGCAGCTCACTTTCCTTCTTCATATGTTGGTCTTGGAATCAGGAAGACTTTAGTTCAAATTATATTTCAGACACTAACTAGTTGTGTGACAAAGGGCACTTAACCTCTCTCTCAGCATCAGTTTCCTCATCTGTAAAATGTGGATAATAATAGCACCTACCTCCTAGGATTTTTGTGAGCATCAAATGAGAGAATATAAAGTAAAGCACCATATAAATGCTAGCTATGATTATTAAGACTGGGAAAAGACAGTTAAAACATTTTATTTTGAAAAAGTTCCTGAGCACATAGAGAGCCCACTTGTTGAATCAGCCTTGTAAGACTATCCTACAGGGAACCTCTAGGCTACCCAGTCACATGCCCCAACTTGTATGGGAGGGGAAGGGATATTCAACAACTTTTCATTCTCACATATAAAGACTTCCCAAACCCATCAAAAGCTGGAGGGGTTTTTGTTCATGAAACAACTTCCTTTGGAGACGCCTAGCTGTCTCCACTCCTAGCAGTATTCTGTTTGCTTTGAGCCAAGCATAGGGGGTCTTTAAAAATAAATGCGTCTGAATCTATGCATCCGTCTAGCCAGCTCCTCCTCCATTGAGCTGATTATGATGATAGCCTTGTTTGTTCTGGCTGATCTTGGCTTCAGCCTAACACAATCATCTCTCCCCACCAACCCACCCACTCTAACCTTCCTCTTGGAGCCCACCAAGAGTACAGACTTTGTGGCTTTGAGACAGGAAATTAGGAGGGTAAAAGCACTTCTGTTCTTGATAAGAAGCCAAGGGAAATTGTGGGGGACTATGTGGAAACAGTGCTTTGACCTCCTTCCTCAAGACCAGAAAGGTTATATCGACAGGCTTACTAGCAGATCAAACTATTTTGATTAAAGTGTTCAGGAAAATTAGTATTCAGTTCCCTTACATATTTTATTTTGTAAAAAAAAAAAAGCTAGCCAACTCAGAGAACTACTGTGTTAAAGAAGAATCAGTTTGACAGTTTTGTTTCCTCTCTCCTTCCTATTAAAGGAGCCATGGGAACTGGAGGCCAGCTGTGTTTTTAGAACATTTCAGTGCTTGGGGGTCCTTGTGGTCAGACCTTGAGTAGGCAGCAAAGCCCAGTCAGCTTAAGGAGAGACAGAGACATAAGAACTGGCCAGGACTCTCCAAAGATGGTGGTGACTGGCTAAGGGCTTTCAGAGGCCATTCCCAGTACCCCCAGCTGCTCCTGCCCTCTCCCCAGTTACTTACCTTTCTGATGTACATGATGTCCCCAGGAGAATGGGAACCTCATATGCGTAGGAGCCATTATTGTCTTTGCTTTTTATTTGTTCTCCCCCCTACCCTTAGCACAGTGCCTGGCACATAAGAGCTTAACAGATAAATAAACATTTGTTGATTTCAGTTTCAATTACCTTTGAGTCTTGCACAAAACATGTTCCATAGATTTAGAGCTGGGAGGGACCTCAAAGGTCATCTAGTCCAACTCTTCCATCTAAAGATGAGTTAACTAAGGCCCAGAGAGGTTAATGCTGCTAGGCTGTATAGTAGATAAAGAGTACAGGGCTTAAAGCCAGGAAGATGAATCAAATCCTATCTTAGTGATAGTTATATCATCCTATACAGCCTCTGTTTCCTCATTTGTAAAATGAGGTTGTTGGACCCAAAGGCCTGGAAGGTCCTTTTCAGCTCTAAATCTATGACCCAATTAGCAACTTGTCCAAGTTCACACAGAGAGTGAGCCTCAGAGGTAAGATTTGAACCCAGGCCCTCTGACCACAAAGTCAATCTTGGACCCTTTGGTCCAGTTTACTCTACTTGACCATATCCTGACAACCTGGATTTCTCCCTCTTCAGATCAGTTATTTGGTTTGGTAGACTTCAGGCTTTCATTCCTGTCCTCATAGTTCCATCTTTCCAGGATTGCAAACTGTTACGAATTTGAGGTGAGAAAACAAATAGAATGTCCAGTTAGAGAAGTGCCGTGTTTGTTTGTGTGAAGTATGTATCCAGAGGCTCCTAGCTACATGGCCTGAGTCCACTTACTTCAATCCTGTGGCCTGGGAACTTTAACTATCCATGTCGTTCTCTTTGGAAGGAACATAATACCAAGGGGAAGGGAGAAGATGGTAAGTATGTCTGTGGTAATACTAGGAAAGCACTGAAATCACCCACATTGTCTTCTAAAATGCACAACTTTTATTATTTTTTTTTAATTTTGCTTTTTCTAACAGCAATATAGAAACAAATGATCATAAAAAATAAAATTAGAAATTGTCTGTCAGCTATGTAATAGCACTTGGTATTGCTAGGAGATACATTGGAGGAGATCCCAAAACCGGAGAAGACCTTTGTCAGGATATCTCAGGGTCTCCAGGCCACTATGCTTGGCTACCATAGGTACGAAGCCATTAGACAATGTTACTTAGACACAACAGTATGTCTGCTGAATGTCACACCTAAGGGATACTTGGCACAGGAACTAATGAACAGATTAAGGAAGCAACGCAAGCAGGAGACATAATACAAACATTGGGCTAGTAACTAACTACCCTTTATAAATCTAGTGACTCCACTGGCAGAGAGTTAAGGCCTACCTCGAACAATTAAATTTGTGTTGTGGAGGGTGGGGAGGGGAAAGGAGACTGAGCTTATCTGTGTAACAATTTGCCTAAGGCAGGAGCAATCCACAAAGGAACTCTCTCAACACAAAACTATGACTGAAACAGGAAAAGTGATAGGAATGCCCCACCATCTTAAATGAATCATTCCGGGAAAATGGAGACTATTGAGATGCCTGCAGTCACATGGCAGAAACTGCCTACCTTCTCTGAAGTCCCACAGGGCTTTATACAAGCCTCTTTTATGCACTTGTCCCTTGATTGTAGGTATTTGTCTCTTCTACTAGACCATAAACTCTTGGTGGTGGTGGTGGGGTAATCCATATTATGTTTACCAGTGTAGCCCTCTCTATGCCTAGGATAGTTCCATGTACTCAATAACTATGAGTTAAATAAGTGAATGTATTGAGTCAGTTAATGGGTGAAACCATATTTTTTCCATCTATCTTAAGGGCTGATTTTTGCGTTATCTATTGGATTGATCATGACTCAGATTATTGACTTGGGCTAAAAATGGGAGTGCAATTCAAGTTGGTCAGTTCCCATCATATAGGTCTAAAATTGTTCTGGCTATGTTCTAGGCATGTGAGTACATTTGTGAGTACCTGGGTGTCTAGCTTCAGTACGTGTGACACCATTTGTATGTCTCTGTAGACATGGGAGAAGACAGTATCTTCTCTATCTCATAATAAACTAGGTTTCTGTTCATACTAACACTGCACTTTCCTATTGCATTAAAGGCCTTTTTCTCCAAGAAGCTCAGGAATGCCTCTTTAGAGTCCATTGGTGTTTCTAAGTAATCATTGGAGTCATTATTAAGCTAGTCTCCAGCTTTTACAAAATGTATTTAGAGCAGGAGCCCAGTACCTGCCCTTGTTCTTAGATCTTCCTCACCAAGGCCATACTTGGGCCACAAACTTCCTTTTATTTTCATATCAGAAGCTAGAAACCTAAGCTCTGGGTAACTTTATGTTAGAACACTATCTTGTCCTTCTGCCACCTGCTTCAGGTGACAGAAATAACGAAGTCCTTTGGCCCCTAGAAAAGTCTGGAAGCAGTTCAAGTTATTGTTTACCAGCTATGAGTCATTGATTTCCCTCCAAAACCTTCATGCTTCTCTTCTTTGCTCTTTCCCTTACTTACATATTCCAATGAATTAATTGCTTATGCTCTAGCCTAGCCTCTTATCTGCAAAGTGTGGGTGTTTTTTGTCTTTGTTGGAGTTGTGCTATGGATTGGGAGAAAATGACTTTGATCAGGAAACAGAATAAAAACCCTTAAAAGTGTGTTGACCAATCCCCATGGAGCTTTAAAAAAAAAAAAGAGCAATGGGATGTGGTGCTTAAAGAGTGGTAATGTCAATCAGTGTGCTCTCTTCTGTCCAGACACCATCCGGGGTTGGACAAAACATTCCAAACTCAAACGAGAGGAGTTTACAGTGGGGAGGTGGAGTGGTAAATCATCTGAGCTGGAATGCACAGGCAGTGTGAGGAGACTGCATTAAAGTAAAAGTTAGGAGTTACTCTTGGAAGTTGAATGTAGACAAATATAACCTGTACATTAATGGCTAAATTCATACATTACTAAGTAGCTTTATGACTTTGAACAAGTCATTGTGTGCACAGAGCCTTCAAAACAAGGGAGCTGGACGAGATGATATCATTGGTATTTCCTAGTTCTGAAATGAACGCTTTTATAGTTCAACTATTGCTGACTTGGGGATATTTTGACATATAACATTACATTGATTTTTTTTCAGATTTGTTAAGTCTGAGTTCTCTCAGATTTTGGCCCTCATAGTCCCAGTGAATATGGCCCTATGAAAAGAGAAAGCATTTCTTCTAGGCCGGATGCTCTATCACATCAACCAGTTCCTCCCTTTGGATAGAATCATTCAGTTACCTGCTATTGTAAATAACTGTTTAATTCAATCAGAATGGGGAAACTGGTTGGATGTATAGAGAGGCTTGGTGATAGCTGATTTGATTGTCTTTGTGGGAAGGCAATAAAAATGGAAATAAGATTAGGGAGGTGGTACTACCAAGCTCAATAAAGAGGCATTTTCTGGCACTCACAGGTGAGCCTGGCGGGTACCCTTAGGAGGAAAATTGAGCTCAATCAATTGTGGTCTTACATGGTGATCCCTTGGTCATGAGGGGAGATAGAGAAACAGGAGCAGAATTACAGGGCCTCTTTGGAGGTTCTCATGGGTATTTTCTGCTCAATGACAGTAAAATCTAGGTTCAGGATCTGTCCCTCACTTGTTACACTGGAGAAGGCCCATCAGACTACCTGGCACAAATGGCATTCTCTTCCAATTGCCTCCCAAGAGCCCGAGTCAAAAACTGGCAACAGTTTTACCTTGTCTTGCCAAAAGGATCTGACTCTTGGGTTGTAATGCCAGCACCCAGGAACACATGATCCTAACTGCACAAATGGAGGAGCCCTGCTACTTACTCAGAAGAATGCAGGCTCCTTGAGGGAAGACATCACTATTATTTTTTTCTCTTTGTATCCACTGTGCCTAGCACAGTACCTCAAGCATAATAGGTTCTTAATAAATGCTTATGGAATTGATTTGATTTGAATCAAATACATGGAGAGCACTTCTTGGTCAACACTGAGGGGACATTGACACTGAGATGGTTACACCAAGCACAAGGATCACCTCCCTATACTTTTGGGGGTACATAATATCTGATGCCCATGGAGATCCTTCAGGGACAAGGGTAGGGCCACAGTGCCTGGGGCAGGGAGACTTTTTCCTCCCTTTGGGAGCCCTGGTCATAGCACCAGTGATTTGTGTTCACAGGCACATGGGCATGGGATGGAGGGGAGGCTCGAGTAAGAGGTTGGAAGGAATCAATCTCTTATAGCACTATCACTAGTAAAACAGTTTATAGAAGGATGAGTCAGATATTAAGTGGATAAGAAGCCTTGAAGGCTTCCATGACCCCATTAACATCTCCTTGAGAGTGCTACATCCTCATTTCTGGTGGATCTGAGTCACCCCGGCACAGCCCAGCCATTGGACAGGACCTGGTAGCTCCTCGGGAAGCTTGGCTCTGCTTGGGCACTCTCCACCTCCACGTAGGCCTTGCCCTGCCGCTGACAAGCATCTAAGCTTGTGTCCCTCCCTTGCCAACCCTTTACTTCCACCAGCCCTTTGATGACCTCCACATCTCCTCCTCCTTCAGCAGAGGGAGAACCTGCGGGTGTTGATGTTCATCTTGGTCACTCCAATGACCTTCAGTGGGGTGGAGAGGCTGAAGGAGGAGGCCAAGGGGGAGTCACAGAAGAGGTCGGACAGCTCATCCCGTTCCTCCAGCTCATAGGTGGCATCATTGAGCATCCTCCGGTGGAGGTGGCAGGTCTGCTCGATCTTCAGCTTGTTGATGTCGCTGCGGAGGCGCATCAGCTGCCGGGCCAGCTGCTGATCCTGCAACCGCATCTCTGCCTGGGGGCCAAAAATCAGCACAGGGTTGGCGGTAAGCAAGAGGCTCCCTTTCTCCTGTCTAGCAGGAGACTTAATAAAGTTAGGGACTCTAAGTGCACAAACTCATTTGCCCCAGAGACAAAGACATAGAGATATCATGCTCAAAATGGATATGTGGTCAACAACGGATACAGTAGCAGAGACCTCGCCTTGGCAATGGAGACAGATACTGGACATACCCAGGGAAATTGGGGGAGATGGGTCCTAAACCCTTTTCTGCCAATCACATGATATGTGATCTTATAGAACGTTCTTATTTGCTCAATATTACCCACATGAGAAAGGGGAACGATTTTTAGCAAAAATTCCATTCATTTGGGAAGCACTTGTTTGGGAACCTCCATTACCTCATTTAATAATAATCATAATAGCAGCTGACATTTATATAGTGCTTATTATGTGCCAGGCACTATGCTAAATACTTTACAATTATTATCATATTTGATCTGGGAGGTAAGTGCTATTACCCTCATTTTACAGTTGAGGAAACTGAGGTAGACAGAGGTAAAATGATTTGCTCAGAGTCACACAGTTAGAAAATGTCCAAGGCCAGATTTGAACTCAGGTCTTCCTGATTCTAGGCCCCAGAGCTCTATCCCCTGCAACAATTAGCTGTCAGTGATCCTTTCAGGAAGGCAGAAAAAAGTATTGTGATTCCTGTTTTCCAGATAAGAAAACCGAAGCTCAGAAACTTTAAGTGACTTGCCCTGGGTCACATTGGTAATTTTTGTCAGAATAAGGACTTACACCCAGACCTTCTAACTCCTGTTCTGGTGCTCTTTCTTTACCATGTGTTACTGGTCAATATCCATTTACTATGACCTGGCTTCTAGTCCATGACCTTGGGTAAGGCATTTCTCTCTGGCAGGGAGTTAGAATAAATGAGCTACCCTAAGGTTCTTCCAGTTCACAGTCTAGATAAAGAGACAACATAGTGTGTGTGTGTGTAGTGGAACCAGGAAAGCTGTTCATTCATTTCAGTCGTGTCTGACTCTTCATGACCCCATTTGGTATTTTCTTGGCAAAGATACTGCAATGGTTTGCTATTTCCTTCTCCAGCTCATTTTACAGATGAGGAAACTGAAGCAAGCAAGGTTAAGTGACTTGCCCAGGGTCACACAGCTAATCAACATGAGAGACAGAATTTTCTGCTGCCCCTAGAACTAGGAAAACTTAGGTTCAAATCCTGCCTCTGATGTTTACTAGCTGTGTGACTCTGGGCAAGTCATTTAACCTCTAGGTCTCAGTTGCCTTATGTGGAAAATGGGGGTAATGATACCATCCACTTTATAGGAATGTCCTAAGGATTGAATGAGATAATGTATGTAGAACAATTTTCAAACCTTAAGAGTTCTGTAAAGATAAGCTGTTATTTGGAGAAGAAAGGATTATAGGATCAAGTAATAGAATTTAAAAGTAGAAGGGACCTCAGAGATCATCTAGTCCAACTCCATTTTACAAATGAGGAAACTGAAACTCATGTCAATTAAGTGGCTTTTCCAAGGTCACACAGGTAGCAAGTAGCAGATGCAAGATTTATACTGAGGTCTTCAGATTCCGGCTTCCCTTTCCACTACGCTTCACTCCCTCTCTTAGCTGATATTCAAATATTACCTTAAAGTTTGCAAAATGCTTTTTAAACATTCATTTCTTGGGGAACAAGTCAGGCCTTGAAGACTTGTGTCTCCCGCTTTATACATTCGGGATATCAGACTCTCCTGATGCTTGAGTTCTGGTGTGCTTTGGACCTTCTAGAGCTGTGACCTTGGGGCAAAACAGGCTCTCTCACTACCTGGGCTTGCTGCCTGTCCCCCCAGATTTCCTGAGTTCTTCCTCCTCGCTGTTTACTCTGCCTCAACTTGCAGAGAGCAACTGTTTTGCTGATTTTGTGAAGTCATGGCTAAGCTATGTAGTACACCTTTGTTAATGGTGAGCCTTCCTGGTGCTGGAGCCAAAAGGATTTGAACAAAGCATCTTGGGATGCCAGGCAGAGGCTCAGGCCATCAGGGAAGCTAAAGCATGTTTTCCTGCTCCCACTGTCCCTTGGGTTTTGGAGATATCTGCCTTACCTTAAGAAAACTTACATTTTCAATAATAATGAAATCTTTAGGAAGACAGAGTGATTTTAACCCAATCTCTATTCTGTCCATTTCACAGACAGATCAAAGAAAGACATTTGCCTAGGCTCACACTGATAGTTAATAGCAATGCACCATACCTGGTTAGAGCTAGAAGGAATGTTAGAGGCTTCATTTTACAGACGGGGAAACCAAAAATCCAGAAATGTTGATGACTTGTATAGTAAGTATTTACTAAAGCAGTGTTTGGATTGGACTGCCTTGGACTGAGTAGACTGATTATAGGATGTTTTCTGTTATACATGGCTTCTATTTTTTTCTCCTGGCCAGGATAAAGAACCTGAGTTCTTGCCAGAATTTGCCCATTTTAAGCCTTACCCTTAGGACTATGCTTATTCCCAAGGTATGCTACCTGGTGATTATGAAGTTTCCAAATTATTTTTTCACCCCATTCCTGGTCCATTATGGGAAATATGGAATGGGCTGCTTTCCTAATTGCTCACTCCCAGGGTGGCCTGAGCAAAAGTGGCCTGAGCAAAGGCATGTCCCATCTTGGTGGGACAGATTTTTTCAGAGGAGAGATAATAGCATTTACTTGGTTCTTAGGGGTGTGGCTTGTTCTACAGCTAAACCTTTAATTACTGTAATTGACTTGGTGAAAGAATTGTAAAATCTTTTGGTGTTGGGGGAGTAGGCAGTTTAGCTTCCTGTGGCTGTCCTAAGTGTGTGGGACTTTGTTGTCTTCCCAAGTCAATGAGCAGTTATTAAATGCCTAGTCTGTGCTAGGCATTGTGCTAAACCCTGAAGATACAAAGGAAGTAAAAACAGTCCCTGCCCTCAAGGAGCTTACAATCTAATTGAGGGCTTGATCTGAACTCAGGAAGATGAGTTTTCCTGACACCTGGCTCAGCTCTCTATCCACTGTGCCACCTAGCATCCCCTAGTGGGTTACTTAGGGGGGTGTAAAATGATTGCCTTGCCATAGTTAGGACCCAGTTGATGGGCCTTTGCAGTAGATCTAGTCAGCACGTTTCATGGTCTTCTCCAACTTCGTCCAGCAGTATGTAAGAGTGAAGGCTGTGGATAGTGGAAGTAATCCAAAGTTGAAATTTGGCAGGGCAAGATAAGGGGTAGGATAAGGGGGCAAGGGATTCAAGAAGGGGACAGAGTGGAGTTTAACTGTCTCATCAAGAGGTCAAGATGAGGAAGAGAGGAGAGTGTAGCTGACGTAGGGGTGATGGCCTGGGAGAGAACTGAGGGACTGAAGGTCATGGTGTGAATGAAGAACAGGGTTTGGGACTGCAAGAAAGAGGTGGAAATACAGATTGTGATCAGATACGAGAATTTCAGGGTTCATGGATATGGAAATGGTGTCTTTTTGGATGATGGTCAAGATCAAAGTTATGGCCAGCTTTGTCTTTGGAGGAAGTGGGATGGAGATTTAGCTCTTGTGAGATGAGTAAATTGAGGAATGATGAGGTCAGGGTGTTTGTGAGAGTATAAACAGGCAGGGTTGAAGTTCCTTAGGATGTGGGCAGGAACTGATTAGAAGAGAAAGTCTGTGAGTCAAGTATTGAACTCATTGAGGAAGAAAGAGGAGTGACTTGGAGGTCTGTAGACAATAGCTACCAGAACTTTGGGTGGTAGATATGGACTGAATGAACCTCCAAGGAGGAGAGGTTACTGAGTGATGATAGAAGAGGGAGAACCTGGAAGTGGCAACGGGAAGAAGAGATATTCCAACTCTCCTTCCTCAACTGGTTAGTCAGGGGGATAAGTGAAAGTACAGCCAGGGCTGGAAAGGAAGGCCAGGGATGCTATGTGATCAGGAAGAAGGCAGGTTTCTCTGAGAGCCAGAAGGTGGAAGGAGTGAGAAAGGAAAACGATTTAAGATTAAAGGAAGTCTGTTACCTATGGAGAGGCATTCCAGAGAGCACAGTGGAAGTAGCTTTGGATGGGTGGATGGCTTGGGTTGAGGGGAATGGGAATAAAAGATTAGGCAGTGTGTATCAGAGAATGGAGTTCTGATGACAGCCAAGATTCAGAATTGCTAATATGGTGAGGGTATAAACAAGGGGGAAACATGTTAACCATTGAGCAATCAGTTCAGGTAGGTTTTCATTATATTGTCCATAGGGGTTTGGCCTTAGGAGTTCAGGTGAGGGGACAAATTCTGGGATCTGAAGGAATAGCATTACTCCTCCAAGACAAGAGGTGAGGCTCAAGACATGCTGTAATGGCCTTTCTCCTCTTCCCTGGAAGGAAGGAATCTGGTGCTTCTCTTCTCCATGAAGGAAGCAGAAGACCCAGCAGGAGACCTGGTATGATGGAGTTTTCTCTCCTTACTCCAAAAGCAGGAGACTGGTGCCCAAAGGAATGGCATTCTTTTCTTCTAGCAGGAGGTTGGAGAGTTGGTGCAGTGGAATGGTGTTTCTCCCTTTCCTGTGAAAGGCTGGAGGTTAGGCAGGGGACTTGGAACCATGGAATGACATTTTCTCCCCTTATCTTAAGGCAGGAGTCCTGTTGCAATAGAATAGTATTTTCTGGAAGTCTTTGATCAGAGCCTGGACAACCATTTATTGGGCATGTTGTAGGGAGGATTCCTTTTAGAGAATACATTTAGCCCCAAATATCTCTTCAAACTCTAAAATTCTATGATTCTGTGAACTACACAGTTCATGAAAGGCACTAATAATTGGGGAGAATAGGAAAGGCTTCTGGAAAGACATCACACTTTCAGTGAGAAGGATTCCAAAAACAGATGTGAGAAGAGAGAACATTACATGCATGGGGTGACTCGTCTTTGGGGAAATAGCAAGTGGTTCAGTTTGGCTAGAATGTGGAGGGTGTGTGCGTGGGGGGAGGGAGGCTGGAAATGGGTAA